TCTATTATATTTAATTACTTAAAATTAAAATGATTTACTTTTTTTTTAAAAAATAAATCAATATTAATAATTAATTTTTTTAGAATAATTTCTTTATTAGGTATAATTTTTAGAACTTTTTTTTATTTATAAGGTTTTAAGTTATATAAACTAATAATCTTCAAAATTATAAAAAAAGAAATTCTTTAAGCCTTAGTATTAATTTATACTCCTTAAAATTTGCAATTTTATATCATTTTTGAATATAAAGCTTTAATAAAAGAGATCATTCTCATAAATAAATTTACAATTTATCGCTTATTATTCAGCCATTTTATTTGCGAAAATGACTTTATTCTACAAATCATAAAGATATTGGAACATTATATTTTATTTTTGGTATTTGAGCAAGAATATTAGGAACTTCATTAAGTTTATTAATTCGAACTGAATTAGGAACTCCAGGTTCTCTAATTGGGGATGATCAAATTTATAATACTATTGTTACAGCCCACGCTTTTATTATAATTTTTTTTATAGTTATACCTATTATAATTGGAGGATTTGGAAATTGATTAGTCCCATTAATATTAGGAGCCCCTGATATAGCTTTCCCCCGAATAAATAATATAAGATTTTGATTACTTCCCCCATCCCTAACCCTTTTAATTTCTAGAATAATTGTAGAAAATGGAGCTGGAACTGGTTGAACTGTTTACCCCCCTCTTTCATCTAATATTGCCCATGGAAGAAGATCTGTTGATTTAGTTATTTTTTCCCTTCATTTAGCTGGTATTTCATCAATTTTAGGTGCAATTAACTTTATTACAACAATTATTAATATACGAATTAATAGAATATCTTTTGATCAAATACCATTATTTGTGTGAGCTGTAGGAATCACTGCCTTATTATTACTCCTTTCTTTACCTGTATTAGCAGGAGCTATTACTATATTATTAACAGATCGTAATTTAAATACATCCTTTTTTGATCCTGCGGGAGGAGGTGACCCTATTTTATATCAACATTTATTTTGATTTTTTGGTCATCCAGAAGTTTATATTTTAATTTTACCTGGATTTGGTATAATCTCTCATATTATTTCTCAAGAAAGAGGAAAAAAGGAAACATTTGGTTGTTTAGGAATAATTTATGCCATAATAGCAATTGGATTACTTGGATTTATTGTATGAGCTCATCATATATTTACTATTGGTATAGATACTGATACTCGAGCTTATTTCACTTCTGCTACAATAATTATTGCTGTTCCTACAGGAATTAAAATTTTTAGTTGATTAGCTACTTTCCATGGAACTCAAATCAATTATAGACCATCAATTTTATGAAGACTAGGATTTGTATTCCTTTTTACAGTAGGGGGATTAACTGGAGTTATTTTAGCTAATTCATCTATTGATGTAACTTTACATGACACATATTATGTAGTAGCTCATTTTCATTATGTTTTATCTATAGGAGCCGTATTTGCTATTATAGGAAGATTTATTCACTGATATCCTTTATTTACTGGTCTTTCTTTAAATCCCTATTTTTTAAAAATTCAATTTTTTACTATATTTATTGGAGTAAATTTAACTTTTTTCCCTCAACATTTTCTTGGATTAGCAGGAATACCTCGTCGTTATTCGGACTATCCTGATAATTTTATATCTTGAAATATTTTATCCTCATTTGGTTCATATATTTCATTATTTTCACTAATAATAATAATAATAATTATTTGAGAATCATTTATCAATCAACGAATAATTTTATTTCCTCTTAATATACCTTCTTCTATTGAATGATTACAAAATTTACCCCCTGCAGAACATTCATATAATGAACTTCCGATTTTAAGAAACTTCTAATATGACAGATTATATGTAATGGATTTAAGCCCCATTTATAAAGGATTTATCCTTTTTTTAGAAATGGCTACCTGATCTAATTTTAACTTACAAAATAGAGCTTCTCCTTTAATAGAACAAATTATTTTTTTTCATGATCATACTTTAATTATCTTAATTATAATTACTATTTTAGTTGGATATTTAATAATTAATTTATTTTTTAATAAATATATTAATCGATTTTTATTGGAAGGTCAAATAATTGAATTAATTTGAACTATTATCCCAACAATTACTTTAATTTTTATTGCTTTACCTTCTTTACGTTTACTCTATCTTTTAGATGAATTAAATAACCCTCTAATTACTTTAAAATCAATCGGACATCAATGATATTGAAGTTATGAATATTCCGATTTTAATAATATTGAATTTGACTCTTATATAATTAACTATGAAAAATCTAATATTAATAATTTTCGATTATTAGATGTAGATAATCGAATTATTTTACCTATAAATAATCAAATTCGAATTATAGTTACTGCTACAGATGTTATTCATTCATGAACTATTCCATCTTTAGGAGTTAAAATTGATGCCAATCCTGGTCGTCTTAATCAAACTAATTTATTTATTAACCGACCTGGTATTTTTTTTGGTCAATGCTCAGAAATTTGCGGAGCTAATCATAGTTTTATACCTATTATAATTGAAAGAATTTCAATCAAAAATTTTATTAATTGAATTAATAATTATTCTTCATTAGATGACTGAAAGCAAGTACTGGTCTCTTAAACCATTATATAGTAAATTAGCATTTACTTCTAATGAAAGAATTAGTTAAAATTATAACATAAATATGTCAAATTTAAATTATTACCTTAAGTAATATTCTTTTATTCCTCAAATAATACCTATTAATTGAATTATATCATTTATTATATTTATCATAATTTTTATTATTTTTAATATTATAAATTATTATATTTTCATAAATAATAATAATAATAATAAAAATAATATTAATAATAAATTTATTAATAAAAATCTTAATTGAAAATGATAAATAATTTATTTTCTATTTTTGATCCAACAACAAATATCTTTAATTTATCATTAAATTGACTTAGAACTTTAATTGGATTATTTTTTATTCCTTATTCTTTCTGAATTATTCCTAATCGACAATTTATTTTTTGAAATTTTATTTTAAATAAACTTCACAATGAATTTAATTTATTATTAGGTAATAATAAATTAAATAAAGGATCTACTTTTATTTTTATTTCATTATTCTCTTTTATTTTATTTAATAATTTTTTAGGCCTATTTCCTTATATTTTTACAAGAACTAGTCATCTTACTATTTCATTATCTATTTCTCTTTCACTATGATTAAGATTCATATTATATGGTTGAATTAATAATTATCAACACATATTTATTCATATAATTCCTCAAGGTACCCCTTATATTTTAATACCTTTTATAGTTTTAATTGAAACAATTAGAAATATTATTCGTCCAGGAACTTTAGCTGTTCGACTAACTGCAAATATAATTGCTGGACATTTACTATTAACATTATTAAGAAGAACTGGCAATAATATAACTTTTTATTTTTTATTTATTTTAATTCTTTTACAAATTTTATTATTAATTTTAGAATCAGCAGTTGCAGTTATTCAAGCTTATGTAATTTCTATTTTAAGAACATTGTATTCTAGAGAAGTTAATTAATTATTAATGTCAATAAATAATAATCATCCATTTCACTTAGTAGATTATAGACCATGACCTTTAACAGGAGCTATTGGTGTAATAACATTAGTTACAGGTATAATTAAATGATTCCATGAATTTAATATAAATTTAATAATTTTAGGTTACATAATTATTTTATTAACAATATATCAATGATGACGAGATATTTGTCGAGAAGGAACATATCAAGGAAATCATACTATTTTAGTTTCTAAAGGATTACGTTGAGGAATAATCTTATTTATTATTTCAGAAATTTTTTTTTTTATTTCATTTTTTTGAGCTTTTTTTCATAGAAGATTATCGCCTAATATTGAAATTGGAGCAATATGACCCCCTTCTAGAATTATTCCTTTTAATCCTTTCCAAATCCCTTTATTAAATACTATTATTTTAATTACTTCAGGAGTTTCAGTAACTTGAGCTCATCATGCTATCATAGAAAATAATTTTTCTCAAACTACTCAAGGTCTTTTCATTACTATTATATTAGGAATTTATTTCACAATTCTTCAAGCTTATGAATATATTGAAGCCCCATTTACTATTGCTGATTCAATTTATGGTTCAACTTTTTTTATAGCAACTGGATTCCATGGATTACATGTAATTATTGGTACAATTTTTTTAACTATTTGTTTTATCCGTCATTTATCAACTCATTTTTCCAATAAACATCATTTTGGATTTGAAGCAGCAGCCTGATATTGACATTTTGTTGACGTAGTTTGATTATTCCTTTATATCTCTATTTATTGATGAGGTAATTAATTTATTTATATAATATATTTAGTATATTTGATTTCCAATCAAAAAGTTTAATTTAATTTAATATAAATAATTATATTATTATTTATTATTTCAATATTAATTATCTTAATCTCCAATATTTTAATATTTTTAACAATTATTTTATCAAAAAAATCATTTATAGACCGAGAAAAAAATTCACCATTTGAATGTGGATTTGACCCTAAATCTTCTGCACGAATTCCTTTTTCTTTACATTTTTTTTTAATTACAGTAATTTTTTTAATTTTTGACGTAGAAATTGCTTTAATTTTTCCATTAATTCAATCTTTTTATTTGACTAATTATTTCTCAATAATAAAAATTAGATTTTTTTTCTTATTAATATTATTAATTGGACTCTATCATGAATGAAATCAAAACATATTAAATTGAACAAATTAGGATTATAGTTTATTTAAAACATTTGATTTGCATTCAAAAAATATTGAATTCAATTTATCTTAAATATGAAGCAATATTATGCATTTAATTTCGACTTAAAAGAAAGAGTTATTACTCCATATTTTTAATTGAAACCAAAATAGAGGTATATCACTGTTAATGATATTAATGAATTTTTATTCCAATTAAAGAAATATAAAAAAAATTAAGCTTCTAACTTAAATTATAGTAGATTAAATCTATTAATATTTCTAATTTATATAGTTTATTTAAAACATTACATTTTCATTGTAAATAAAAAAAAATTTTTTTATAAATATTTAAAGATTTAATAATCTCCTTAATATCTTCAATATTATACTCTTTATAAGCTATTTAAATTTATAATAAAAATAACAATAAATAAAAAATTAATATTCAAAAAAAAAATCTAAATAAATAAATTTTAAAATTATTTATTTGATAAAAATTATAAAAAATTGAATAATTTTTAATAATATTATATATTCCCTGACCCCTATACAATTCTCTTCAACCTATATCAATATTTTTTAATAATCTTTGACCTATTTTTAAAAAATAAATATTTAAACCATAAGTTGATAAATTTGGTATAAATCACATTAAACATAAAAAATTTCTTAAATTATAAGTTATTAAAAACTTATTAATAGAATAAATTTTTATTTTACTAACTAAATACCCTAAAAATAATCCAATTATTACAACATAAATAACTATTATTTTTAAATTAAAAGGTAAATAAATTATATAAGGATAATTAAAAATCATTCATCTTAAAAATCTTCCTACTGTTAATCTTATAAATAATAATATAAATATTCTCTTTAATATAACATAATCTTCATCATATAAATTATAAACTACTATTAAATTATAATCATTAATTATTAAATAAAATAATAAACGAATTGTATAAAATATAGTTAACCCAGTAGATAAATAATATAAAAAAAAAATTATTAAATTTAAATTTCTTATACTTACTATTTCTAAAATTAAATCCTTAGAATAAAATCCTGCTAAAAAAGGAAGTCCACATAAAGCCAAATTTGAAATATTTAAACATAACCTTGTTAAAGGAATATAAAACCTAATTCCTCCTATATATCGAATATCTTGAGTATCTCTTATTATATGAATTACCACTCCAGCACATATAAATAATAAAGCTTTAAATATAGCATGAGTTAATAAATGAAAAAATGCTAAATCAGATATTCCTATACTTAAAATTCTTATTATTAAACCTAATTGACTTAAAGTAGATAAAGCAATAATCTTCTTCAAATCAAATTCATAATTAGCAGAAATACCAGCTATAAATATAGTTAATCCTGATAATAATAATAAAAATTTTAAAAAAAATATATCAATTAATATTATATTAAATCGAATTAATAAATAAACACCAGCAGTTACTAATGTAGAAGAATGTACTAAAGCAGAAACAGGAGTTGGAGCAGCTATAGCTGCCGGTAATCAAGATCTAAAAGGAATTTGAGCTCTTTTTGTTATAGCTGCAACAATTAATATTAAACCAATAATCTTTATTATATAATCATTATTTATAAAATTTAAAAAAAAAATATAATTTCATCTCCCATAATTTATTATTCAAGAAATAACTATTAAAATCATTACATCTCCAATACGATTAGACAAAGCAGTCAATATACCCGCATTATAAGATTTAATATTTTGATAATAAATTACTAAACAATAAGAAACTAACCCTAATCCATCTCAACCTAAAAAAATTCTAATTATATTAGGACTAATAATTAATAAAATTATTGAAAATACAAATAATAAAACTAAAATAATAAATCGATTTAAATTTTTTTCTGAATATATATATCTTTTTCTATAATAAATTACTGAAGATGAAATCATTGAAACAAATATTATAAATAATAATGATATTCAATCTAATAAAATTGATATAACAATTCTTATAGAATTAAAAGAAACAATTTCCCACTCTAAAAAAAGAACTATATTTTCTATAATAAAATAAACCAAAAAAAAAAAATTTATTATTCTAAAAAAAAATAAAAAAAAAAAACTAATAAAACAAATTGAAAATTTTTTTATGATTTAAAATGAATTTTCATATTTTTGATTCCACAAATCAATATTTTTATTTAAATTATTTAAATTAAAATCAAATTATAAAAAAATCAATTTTTAAAATTAATAAATTTAAAGGTAATCAATGTAATATTAATAATAAATATTCACGAGAAATACCACTATAAAATCTATAAATTCTTATATTATATTTCCCATGTTGAGTATAAGAATATAAATATAAACTATAACCAGCTCTAAAAAAAGAAATTATAATAAGACTAATTATAGATAAATAAGATCATCTAACAACTCTATTAATTAATCTAATTTCTCCTATTAAATTTATAGAAGGTGGGGCAGCTATATTTGAGGATATTAATAAAAATCATCATAAACTTATAGAAGGCATAAAATTCATTATTCCTTTATTTACATATAATCTTCGACTATGTAGTCGTTCATAATTAATATTAACTAAACAAAATATTCCAGAAGAACATAAACCATGACCAATTATTATTACATATGAACCTAAATACCCTCAATAATTTATAGTTATAATTCCACAAATTACTAATCTTATATGAGCTACTGAAGAATAAGCAATTAATGACTTTATATCAACTTGACAAAAACAATTTAATCTAATATATAAACCACCTAATAATCTAATAATTACCCAAATTAATCTATATTTTATATTAATTTTTTGAAAAAGAATTAAAATTCGTAAAAGTCCATATCCCCCTAATTTCAATATAATTCCAGCTAAAATTATTGAACCTGAAACAGGAGCTTCTACATGAGCTTTAGGTAATCATAAATGAACAAAATATATCGGTATCTTAACTAAAAAAGCTAAAATTATTGATAGATATAGTAAAAAAAAATTTTCATTTATAAACTTAAAAAAATACATAATTATACAATTATAATTCCTAAAAATAAAAAAAATTCCTATTAATATAGGTAATGAAGCAAATAAAGTATAAAATAATAAATATATTCCTGCTTGAATTCGCTCAGGTTGATACCCCCAACCAATAATTAATATTAATGTAGGAATTAATCTACCTTCAAAAAATAAATAAAATAAAAATAAATTTATAACTCTAAAAGTTATATATAATATAATTAATAAAATAATAATATTAATTAAAAAAAAATTAATATAAAAATTTAATTTATTTAAATTTTCTCTAGCTATAATTATTAAAAAACAAATTCAAATTCTTAATAAAATTAACCCATATGAAATTATATCACATCCTATTATATAACTAAGATTACAAAAATTTATAATATTTATATTTAAATTTATAAATATAAATATTATTAATAATAAAACTATTTGAACCATTCAAAATATATTATTTAAAAAACATAAAGGAATTGTAAAAATCATTATTATTAAAAATTTTATCATTATAATATTCTAAATCTTTGAAAATAATCATTTCCATGAGTCCGAATTATAGAAACTAAAATAGATAACCCTAAAGCTCCCTCACATACAGAAAATAATAAAAAAATTATTAATATATATATATCATATTCAATATAACTTAAATATACAACTAATAAAAAAAAAAGTCTTAAAACAATAAACTCTAATCTTAACAAAACAATTAATAAATGTTTATGTTTAGAAATAAAAATTATATTTCCAAAAATAAATATTATTATAATAAGTAATCATATATTTATCATTAGTTTTTATAGTTTAAAAAAAACATTGGTCTTGTAAACCAAAATTAAGTTAAATCTTTAAAAACTTCAAAGAAAAAGAATTTCTTTATCTATAATCTCCAAAATTATTATTTTTATAAACTATTCTTTGATATATTAAAAACATTTTTCTCTATAATAATTATTATATTTTCTACTATAATATTATTTTTAAATCATCCTTTATCTATAGGATTAATAATTTTAATTCAAACTCTTATTATTTGTCTTTTATCAGGAATATTAATTAACTCTTACTGATTTTCTTATATTTTATTTTTAGTTTTTTTAGGTGGTTTATTAGTTTTATTTATTTATGTTTCAAGTGTAGCTTCCAATGAATTATTTAATATAAATTTTTTTTTAAAAAATATTATATTTTTATTTATATTAATATCTTTATTTTTAAGATTTTATAATATATATAATTTAAATTGATTAAATTTTTCATTTAATGATGAAATAAAAAATTTAACAAATTTTTTTATTTTTTTTAATAATGAAAATAAAATTAATTTATCTAAATTATATAATAAACAAACTCATTTAATAATAATAATACTAATTATTTATCTTTTTATTACTTTAGTAGCTATTGTAAAAATTACTAATATTTTTTTTGGTCCCCTTCGATCAACTAATTATTAATTTACTAATGATAAATAAATTTTTCCCTATTCGTAAAACTCATCCTTTATTCAAAATTATTAATAATTCTTTAATTGATCTACCTTCCCCCTCAAATATTTCCTCATGATGAAATTTTGGATCCTTATTAGCTTTATGTTTAATTATTCAAATCCTAACAGGATTATTCCTAACTATATATTATACGGCAAATATTGAATTAGCTTTTTATAGAGTTAATTATATTTGTCGAAATGTAAACTATGGTTGATTAATTCGTACTTTACATGCTAATGGAGCTTCTTTTTTTTTTATTTGTATTTATCTTCATATTGGACGAGGAATTTATTATGAATCTTTTAATTTAAAATATACTTGAATAGTAGGAATTATTATTCTTTTCATTTTAATAGCAACAGCTTTTATAGGATATGTATTACCTTGAGGACAAATGTCCTTTTGAGGAGCTACAGTAATTACTAATTTACTTTCAGCTATTCCATATTTAGGATCTATATTAGTTAATTGAATTTGAGGGGGATTTGCAATTGACAATGCAACTCTAACACGATTTTATTCATTCCATTTTCTTTTTCCATTTATTATTTTAATATTAACTATAATTCATCTATTATTCTTACATCAAACAGGATCTAATAATCCATTAGGAATAAATAGTAACCTAGATAAAATTCCTTTTCATCCATTTTTCACTTTTAAGGACTTAATTGGATTTATTTTATTATTATCATTATTAAGAATATTAACATTAACTAATCCTTACTTATTAGGAGATCCTGACAACTTCACTCCCGCTAATCCTTTAGTAACTCCCATTCATATTCAACCTGAATGATACTTTTTATTTGCTTATGCTATTCTTCGCTCTATTCCTAATAAATTAGGAGGTGTTATTGCCTTAATTATATCTATTTTAATTTTAATTATTTTACCTTTAACTTTTAATAAAAAAATTCAAGGAATTCAATTTTATCCCCTTAATCAAATATTATTCTGAATTATAATTTCTACAATTATTCTTTTAACTTGAGCAGGAGCTCGACCGGTTGAAGAACCTTATATTATTACAAGACAAATTTTAACTTTATTATATTTTTCTTATTTTATTATTAACCCAATTATTAGAAAATATTGAGATAATTTAATTTTTAATTAACTAATTAATGAGCTTGTAAAAGCATTTGTTTTGAAAACTTAAGAAAGAATTTAATATTCTATTAATTTATACTAAATTTATTAACTAATTAAAAAAAATTTTTAGGCCTAAAAAAAATAATAAAAAATTTAAAGAAACTGGTAAATAACTTTTTCAAGATAAATATATTAATTTATCATATCGATAACGAGGTATAGTACCTCGAACTCAAACAAATACAAAAGAAATAAATGATAATTTAAAATAAAAAATTAATCTTAAACTATAACCCCCTATATATAATAAAATAAATAATAAACTTATAAAAAGAATTCTAGCATATTCAGATAAAAAAATTAAAGTAAAACCTCCTCTTCTATATTCTACATTAAATCCAGATACTAACTCTCTTTCCCCTTCTGCAAAATCAAATGGAGTCCGGTTAGTCTCGGCTAATCTAGAAGATAGTCAACATAAACTTAAAGGTATCATTAAAAAAAAAAATCAAATAACTTCTTGATAAAAAAAAAAATCAATTATATTAAAATTTATAATTATAATAATTCTTGATAATATAATTAAAGCTAATCTAACTTCATAAGAAATAGTTTGAGCTACAGCTCGTAATCCTCCTAATAAAGCATAATTAGAATTTGAAGATCACCCCGCAACTATTACCGTAAATACCCCAACTCTTGTACAACATAAAAAAAATAAAATTCCTAAATTAAATCTAATTAAATTAAAATAATAAGGAATTAATAATCAAGATATTAAAATAACAATAAGTCTAACTACTGGGGAAAAATAATAAACTATATAATTTGAATAACTCGGGAAAGTCTGTTCTTTATTAAATAACTTTACAACATCAGCAAAAGGTTGCAAAATTCCTATATAACCAACTTTATTAGGACCTTTACGAATTTGAATATATCCTAAAACTTGACGTTCTAATAAAGTTAAAAAAGCAACCCCTACTATTACCCCAACAATTATAATTAAAACACCAATTATATACAAATATATATCTTTAATTATCATCTACTATATATATAAATAAATTATATATTAATGACTTCTAAAATCATCACATTTTTTCTGCCAAAATAGTTATTATTAATTATTAATAATATTCATTATATTAAAATTATTTTTAATATTTAATCCTTTCGTACTAAAATATTATAATTATTTAAAGATAGAAACCAACCTGGCTTACACCGGTTTGAACTCAGATCATGTAAGATTTTAATGATCGAACAGATCAAAATTTTAAACTTTTGCATTTAAATTTTATCTTAATCCAACATCGAGGTCGCAAACTTTTTTTCCTATTTGAACTAAAAAAAAAAATTACGCTGTTATCCCTAAGGTAATTTTTTCTTTTAATCATTATTAATGGATCATCTAATCATAAATTAATGTTAATAAATAAAAAAAGTTAATTTAATTTTTCTATCACCCCAACAAAATAATTTATTTAATTTTAATTTTAAAAATTATATATTAATAATAATTAAATAAATTATTAAACTCTATAGGGTCTTCTCGTCTTTTAAAATTATTTTAGCTTTTTTACTAAAAAATTAATTTCTATAAATTAATTAGAGACAGAATATATTTCATCCAATCTTTCATACAAGTCACTAATTAAGAGACTATTGATTATGCTACCTTTGTACAGTCAAAATACTGCAGCCCTTTAATAAATTATCAGTGGGCAGATTAGACTTTAAATTATTTTCAAAAAGACATGTTTTTGATAAACAAGTGAATATAAAATTTTGCCGAATTCCTTTAATTAACTTTTAATAATTTTTCCTTTTACCTTTTAAATTATATACTAATTTTATCATTATATCTAATTTTCTCTTATTAAAATATATTTTTTTTATAAAAATTTAAATTTTTTTCTTAAATTTTAATTTAAATTAAATTATTTGTAAAAAATTATAATTTATAAAACAATTTAAATTTTATAATTTTAATAAATTAAATAAATTATTATAAAAATTTATTTTAAAGCTTATCCCTTAAAATATTTAATATTAATTAATAAAAATTTTTTTTAATAAAAATTTTAAATATAATATTTAAAATTAAATTTTTTTCTAAAAAAACTAGATATTTTTAAAAACGATTAACATTTCATTTCCAATTAATTATTAAAAATAATTATTCCACATTAACTTTTATAATTAATTAACTCTTTTAAATTCGAGAAATTATTATTTTATAATTATTATTAATAAACTCTGATACACAAGATACAATAAATTAAATTTACTTTTTTATAAATTATTTTCCCCTATTTCTAAATTCTTTTATAATACTATTTCACTATAAATTTTAAAATTTTTTCTATATATATACTTTAACCCCCATTAAAATATATTTTTAAAAATTTTTTTTTTATAATTTATTATTAATTTTTCCCCCTCAAATTAATTAAATTTAATATCTTTTCAATGTAAATGAAATACTTATTCAAGCTCTAATTTGATCTTTCTAGAAACACTTTCCAGTACTTCTACTTTGTTACGACTTATTCCAATTTATTAATGAAAGCGACGGGCAATATGTACATATTCCAATTTTTAATCATTTTAATAAATTAAATAAAATTACATTTAAGTCCACCTTCAAATAATTTTTAAAAAATATTATCCATTTAATCATTTCTTATTGTAATCCATTATATTCTTAATTATAATCTGCATCTTGATCTGAATTAATTTTATTTTTAAATTTTTAAATATTATTTTTATTAAAAAATATTTTTTTAACAACGATATACAAAATAATTTAAATTAAGTAAATTTATTCGTGGAATATCAATTATTAAACAGATTCCCCTAAATGAACTAAAATACCGCCAAATTATTTAAGTTTCAATAAATAATTATATACTATTTTAGCATTTTTATTTTAATTTTAATAATAGAGTATCTAATTCTAGTTTTTTAAAAAATTTTATAAATCATATTATTTTATAAAATTTTAAATAAATTAAAATTTCACCTAATAATTCAATATTTAATTTTAAAAATATTAATATTTATTATTTACCAATAAAATTTAAATCATTTTTTGTTTAACCGCAACTGCTGGCACAAAATTTGTTAATAATTTTAAATATTACTAAATCTTAATTTCTTAAATTTTTAATGTTAATTACTATAAATTAATTTTAAAAATTATTAAAATAATTAAAAATTCATACTAAAATTTATATGTAAAATAAACTTAAATTAAATTTTATAAATCATAAAAAATTTATTTATATATAAAAATTTTTCATATAGATTTTTTTTTTAAAAATTTTAAAATTTATATATCTATTATAAATATAAATATATATATATATATATATATATATATATATATATATATATAAATATTTAATATATAAAAAAAATCATATAATAAAATATTTATTAGCCATTAATAAACATTGAATAATTTCTTTTTTTTTTTTTTCATAATAATTATTAAATACCTAAGTTGCTATATAAAATTTTATAAACTAAAAGATTATAATATATTATTAATATATTAATTAATTAAATTTATTTTATTATATTATTATATTTAATAATAAATTAAAAATTTAATATATATATATATATAATACTAAAAAAAATTAATTTTTAAAATTTTTAAATAGATTTTTAATTTAATTTTTTATTAAACCATTCTTAATCTTTTTTATATATAAATAAAAAAATAAAAAAATTAAAAATAAGCTAAAATAAGCTTTTGGGTTCATACCCCAAATATAAAGGAAATCCCTTTTTTTTAAAAATAAAGTGCCTGATTAAAGGATTATTCTGATAGGATAAATTAAGTAGAACTCTACCTTTATTATATTTTATAGAATTTAACTATATCTAATAATATCAAAAATTATTGTGCCCCTACACTAAAATATATAAGTATATAAATTACATTAAATTTTTAATTTAACTTAATTCCCCCATTTTAAATTTTCCCCAATATAAATTCTAATAAAATATTTTTTTATTTCATTTTAATTTTTAGAACTTTAATTTCAATTTCATCTAATTCTTGATTAGGATGTTGAATTGGTCTTGAAATTAATTTACTTAGATTTATCCCCCTAATTTCAAGACATAAAAATCTTCTATATTCTGAAGCAGCATTAAAATATTTTTTAACTCAAGCTATTGCTTCCATTAATTTTTTATTTTCTATTTTAATTAAAATAATTTTAATAAAAAATTTTGAAATCAATTATTTAATTTCAATTATAATTAATTCCTCAATATTAATAAAAATAGGATCTGCTCCTTTTCATTTTTGATTTCCTAATATTATTGAAGGATTATCTTGACTTAACTGTTTTATTTTAATAACTTGACAAAAAATTTCACCTATAATTCTTCTTTCTTATTATATAAATAATAATTTTTTAATGATAATTATAATTATCAATGTTATTATTGGTGTTTTAGGAGGTATTAATCAAACTTCTCTTCGTAAATTAATAGCTTTTTCTTCAATTAATAATTTAGGTTGAATATTAATTTCTTTAATAATTAGAGAAAATTTATGATTATTTTATTTAATAATATATTCTTTTTTAATTAGAATTTTATGTTTAACATTTAATTTATTAAATGTATATTTCATTAATCAATTATTTATTATTAACATAAATTCAATTATTAAAATATCACTATTAATTAACTTTTTATCTTTAGGAGGATTACCTCCCTTTCTTGGATTCTTCCCTAAATGAATTACTATTAATTTTCTAATTTTAAATAATTTCTTATTTATTTCTTTTATTTTTATTATAATAAGATTAATTATATTATTTTTTTATATTCGTATTATTTATTCT